GTTAGAGCCCAGAATCTTGAGAATTATGATAGGAACCCTCAAATCCTTCTGTTAGTGATTTCATTAAGGTGGGATCTCATTGAAGCTTGGATATGTCTTTCCCCCACTCTGTTTATATGATGGGTCAAGAGTCCTTTTCCTTGAGAAGCCAGTGAGGGGCTCTCTCAGCTGCTGATTGCTTGTGTGCAGAAGTTCTACTCCCTTTTCCCTTTCAGCCTCAGCACAATTTATCTTCAGAAACAAGCAAAAGGCTACTGCAGACGTGTGCACGCACACACAAAATCTAGAATCCTGAAGATTTATTGAACCTTCTTTTTCTTTTTAATGTTCCAGCAACAAAACTCTGAAGAAACAAAGGAAGAGATGGGGAGAGAAAAGTAGACTAGATAAGTTTGGGAGCAGAAGGTGGTTGCAGAGGTTAAACAAACAACCAAACACCAAGCAATTTTAAGAAGTTTATTTGTAGGTGTGTGTGTATATATGTGTGTATGAGACAGAGTGGTTTTATTTTGGAAAGAAACTGCTATTTACCAGCCAAAGAACATAAGGAAGCAAGGGGTGCTCATCTATTTCTGACTGTACGACGCCTTTTAAAAATGTCACTGGATTTACCTAGCTCCTGCTTGCTTTACTTGAACTGTGTGTCGTTTATATATCGTAATCTTAGGTGAGGGATTTGCTTATAGAATCAAGAGCAAAGCTACTGAAGATCCCTTTTCCAAATGCCAGTGTCAAATCTCTAGACGAATTCCTCTTATTTCTTCCTGTATTGAAATATATATCCTGCATTTCCATTCTTGAAAAACAGTCCTAAAGCTGGGAGCAGCTTGTTCTCTGCAGTCGTTTGGCCCTATCCAGTTCACCTTTATGTAATCGATGAAAATGAATCAGAATCACTTAAATTATGTCGTTCGTGACCGACCTTTGGAAGGTCTTGAGAACCGGGTGCAGACATATAGCGTAGGTGTTTTGTCTTTGTGTGACCTTGACCCTTTTTGTGTGTTTGTTTTTAATTATTTCTGAGGTTTTATATGGTACGTTCACCGTGCAGCATTTCGTTGGATAGTTGGGAGGCCTTACCAACTTAATAAATAAATAAATAAATAAATAAAATTTCTTCCCAAACCACCGCCTTCAATCAGAGGACAGAGATACAGTAATATTTTGGTTTTATTTGTCAGAGTGCCTCCTTTTTCAACCATGTACATGTAAGCACAAGATATAAAACGGGTCTTTCCAAGATGGCCTAATGCTTCTCTAAAACTTGGAGGTATATGATATAGCACATGTTGAACGCAATGATCCCATTTGATTGGATTAAAAGTTGGAACTGTCGGTGTCCCTCATAGTTAGGAAAATCAAGCAACCAATATGTGTATTGAAATGCAACTAACTTTCAGAATATGGACTTTCTGGAATGTGCACAGCTGTTCACAGCTGTATGTATTTAGATGCATCTGTTTGTGTGTTTCAATTTATATAGCTGCCCATCTCACATATGTGACTCTGGGTGGCTCATAGAGTTAAAAACACACAACACACAAAGATACCAAGAATAACCAAAATCATAACAACAACAAAAACCATTTAAACCCATTAAAACATTAAAAACGATTCCAAACCATGGGGGCCAAAAAGGCCAAAATGGTAGTCTTGACCATGTGATCAAAACCCTGCCCCTTTTTTATGTGGGTCACCCATGCAAGCATGTAAAATGGGGACGGGGCTTTATTTGAATGGTCATGGCTGCCCCCCTGCAAATGTTTTCAGATGGCTACATGTACGGGCAAGAGATGATTATTTCTTTTAGCCAGATCTTTATGAGGCGTTCCATCTCATCCATGTCAAAAAAGGGCAGAGCAAACAATGGAATTTACACTTATATTGGCCATAGATATTTATGAAGGGGTGGGAATGGCAAATGCAACATAGCAGTTTGTCTTCGAGTGAATAAAATGACCTGACATACTGTAACAAAAAGTAATTCTGAACAAGAAGGTTTTCTGTTGCTCTAACAAACCAAAACAATTTTCACACTCCAGCGTAGCTTGACTCAAACTGAGCACTGACAAATAAGCCTCCCCTAGTAAGTGCAATTCTATGAAATCTTCAGTTCCTTCAGTATAACACAGTAGAAAATTATTCCTTCCTAATTATTCCTGTTCAAATTGTAAACTGAAACAGTCAAACTCATTTTATTAAACTGATATAAAACTTAATCCTTAATTTAATTAAAATAATTTTGAGTTAATAGTTCACTTGTCTCTATCTTCCCCCATCCCAGTTTCTTCAATTGTAACTGCAATTCATTTAGGCAATTCAAAATGTAAGAAATGAAAAAGTTCTAATGATAATTACTAAACATATTGTGGTAATTGTGCTGGGGAAAATCAATTATACTTGTGGGAGGGGAAACTGTTTCTTTATTGATAAATGGCTGTGATAATTTCATAGAAAATGAATACTTGCTTACTTCTGAATGGCAAAAAAAGAAGATACTAGCATAGACTTAGGGTTCAATGGTTCTTGGAGCAAGAACAATATTAATAACAAACAAAACAGATCTCAATAATACTTCTGCATGATTTTGAGATGTTAAGGCTGAAATGGTGACGAAAACCCATCTCTTATGTTTTACAATGTATGTACCAAGAAGATGAAGAAAACTGCCCTAGTGAGCTCCGAGATGAATTGCATCCTGAAAGTGAAAGTATTCATTTGTCAAGCTAACATAACCTAATCCTAACAAATCTGGTTAAAGAAGTCTCTGTGAGAATTTTGTTTTTGGGTGTACTTACTTGTAAAGAGTTTGGCAAAACTTGAGTTTAACAGTTAATAAAAGGTAGAGAGAAGAATTAAGGTATGTGTTCTGAGAGGGATGAAAAGCTCTCCTCCTGAATAGTTGCTGACTGAAAAGGGTGTATCCTTAAAATAGCTGATTGCCCACTGTGGATGATTGAGTAACTGCTTCCTCATCAGTAAGCAGAGGTGGTAGGATGAATATAAGGCAGCCAGTTCGAGGGAGTGAGCTTACTGAATGAGTGAACAGGAAGAGGAAACAGTAGCTCCTAGTAAAGTTTAGTAGAGAGCAAGGCAAAACCCTTAAGATATTATCTATGTAAGCCTACAGTATGTTGTTGCTTAACCTTACACCCTAAGAAAGGTATAAGAAGAAATGAAAACCTTCTAGTGGTGGAATTAAATAACAAAAGTGAACAGACAAGAATGTGGTCATGGCTTCCAATGGCTGTGGCATTTTTGTGTTCCTGCCTGAATACCAACTGCATCCTTGGGTACTGGAATCACGTGTTGCTAATCTGGGCAAACATTGAGAAATCCTAAAAAATAGTGAACTCTCAGATGATGGAGGTAAACAAAAGTTCCTGCCTTCAAAAATGGAGAAAAGAATGGATTTTACTAAAGAGCAGTCAACCTGACAATAATACTTGGGATGATCTAGTGCAGCTTATAAAGAGATCAATCTATAAGTACCTGGAATCAATGAGATGGTCAAGAACAAATCTTGCCAGATTAATTTTGGACTGAGTAATTTTTTTAGTCCATTGTGGGAGTGGTATAAGAAAATATTTGACCAAATATTCCAGGACATCCAAAGAGCAAGCTAGCTATACGTTGGTGGGATGGCAAGTGGATCAAGTGAAGCAAGGCTTTAATAAGTGTTCATCAACAGTGGTTGATGAAACTGGGGTGAGACAGTGGGTGGGGTTCCTCAAGGTTTAGTTTTCAAATTTGCACATAAGACCAAATAAAGTAGAATAGTTAATACGTGAGAAAATTAGAGACAAATGCATAGTGTTTCATTCAGGAAGCAGAAATAAAATACACAGATACAGGATACGGGATTTCTAGCTTGATAACTGTACTTGTGAAAAAGATCATGGAATAATAGTTTACTACAAACCTCAGTCAGCAGGTGCAAAAAAAAATGCAAATTTAGTCTTTATCAGAAGAAATATATTCTCCCAATCATAGGAAATAATAATTCCACTTTATTTTGCATTGATTACACCCCCATTTTAGTATTATGTCCATTTCTAGGCAGTGCATTTTAAGAAGGATTCAAATAAATAAGTAGGGCAGATTCAGAGAAGGGCAATGAAGATGATCAGAAAACTAGAAATTAAATCCTATGAGGAACTGAGATCGTTTAGATTTGAGAAAACAGGGACATACCTGTTCAAATATCAGAAAAGCTGTCATTCAGGAGATGTTCAAGACCCATTCTCTGTCTTGCAGGGCTTAGAAAAATTGATTAAGATATAGATTAGCTGATTCCAACTGAATGTTAGGACTCCTTTCCCTCATCTTGATGATAATATCAGCTTCATAAGGGAACCAATTACCCAGAGTGGTTGTGGGGAACACTTCATGGGATGTGTTCAAAGGGAGGAAAGGTAGCACAGAGCAGGGGTGTGTGCTCATTGGTCTCAACAAAATTATAACTCTATAATTCTGATTGAGATTTACAGAAAAAAAAAAGAGCTATTTTACAATTGTGCCCTTTCAATACCTCTCTGAATGATTTTATTTAAAGGATGCATTTCATCAAAATCTCACACACTTTTTCAGGAACTGGAACAATCATGAGATAGTTTACAATTCCACTATGAAACCTAAGCTGTTTTGTTATCTAGAATAGCTATTTGAAATATTTTATTTTCTTCCTGTATTAGGTAATACACCAGGCCTTCACAAATTGAGCAAGGATATTGTTAACTCTCAAACTAAATTTGCCCCCTTCCCCTGCGCGTAACCAGAGAAATGTTCTTGATACATCCACAAAGATTTCTATACCTATTTCGTATATATATTCCTGTTGTTCTATCTTGAATATGATTATCTGATGTTTTCCTCTTCTATATTTCCTCTCCTACAGTGATACAGAAGATTCCCACTGTGAATATTTAATACAGTTCCCCACTGTTTCTAAGAGAAACAAGGCGGTTGTTATATAATAACCATTTCTTTTCCTTTTGTAGATCCTGGGTTGCACAGGCAACAATTTTTTCTGCAAAGACCATCAAATGTGGTGGTTGTAGAAGGGAAAGATGCAATTCTGGAGTGTTGCGTTTCAGGCTATCCAGCCCCAGCGTTTACCTGGCTGCGGGGAGATGAAACAATCCCATTCAGGTATTGAGGGTGTTTCACGCCCATGGGAGGATTGGCAAAAACATAAATTGTATAAATAGATAAATAAATAACATCCCTCCATCTATTACTTTTTGTTTCAGTTTGATTTTTGTACATTTTAATGTATTTATTGATTGTTTTAGCCCTGTTGTACGCTGCCCAGAGTTGCTTGCTGGTGAGATGCGTGGCTATATAAAATAAATACATACATACATACAAGATAAAATCATCCAGTTGGCTGGGTCTTTTCCTATCAGTTTTCTCTTATGCAAAGAATCACATTGAAAAGAAAACCAAATGACAGTTTGCTCTTTTGCACATTTACATAATTCCTCTCGAGGAGCCGTGAAAAATGGGGTGAGCCATTATGAATGTTCCTTGAGTAATTCACCTTGGTAATTAAGGTCCCAAGTGTCTTGGAAATGGTGACCAGGCCATCCTATTCTCTGATTCAAAGGTGGCTCAGCTGTCAGACAACTTGTCGTAACCCTTGGAAAATCATGAGATGAGGCTGGAAAAAGTCTATAGAGTCAAAACATTCAGGGTATCATGTTTATACACTCTGACTCCTCTGTCATAAGTTGTCTTTGGTCAGAATCCCAGAAACAAAGAAACAAACAGAGCCCTTAGCCCTTTTATATGGAAAGACATAAATAGCATTCTCACTGATTACAAAGAGGATGTGCATTATGATGAATTTGCTACTTTGTATGTTATCTGAGTACTATCTGAATTACCCGATCATGGTTGTGAAGGCCATCTGTTGCATCACTTATTTTCAATTATTTTAAAATAAATTTCTGGACTTCGTAAAAGCAGTTTCATGGTCTGTCCCCCCTACCCCCCCCCCCACATTTCTGTTATGGCTTTCCCCATCCCTACCCCAAAATAAAGTCTTGGGCATAAGACGTCAAGCACACTCAGTACCATATTTTAAAACATGGAGCCATGCACACCATGATAGATTTATGGTCTCTCCACCTGCTGCATTTAGGTCACTCTGGAAGTGATACCATACCATTTTGTCCCCACAATGTCATTAAGTTCCTGCAGCTCTTCTGAAGCTTAGTCAATTAATGTTTGGCTCAGCTGTGGCATAAAGGGAACTGTTGTGAGAACAGTGGTGGAATTGTTTGGAGAGGTTCACATTCACTGGTGTGAGTTCTTGCCGTGTCCCACCTGCCTTAGGTCTCCCCAGTGCAATATCACCTTGCCACCTGAGATAATTTTTTTCCTTCACTGTCAAAACAAATCTAATCAGGCCATTTTAAGGAGATATTGGCTGGTCATTTGAAGGGATCGCCAGCTGATTCATAAGGATTATGAATGTTGTCAGAATGACAGTGGTGAAATTACAAATGCCATGAAAATGCTTCTGGGTGGTTAGGGGTGGGAATATGGAAGCGTTCTAATTAAGCTGCCTATCTAAGCTACATCTTAGTTTAGTTCTCCGTTTTAAAAATGGACAAATCTGGTATTGCTTATCCTTTCCAGCCTCTGCCGAAATATCTATAGCAGTGTTTCCCAACCAGAGCAAGTTTGAGATCCATGGACTTCAACTCCCAGAATTCCCCAGCCATTGCTAAGAATGTATGAACCCACACATCTCAGTATTGCCCAGGGTAGGAAAAACTGATCTATAATCTCTCCCTTCTTGATGTTTGAACTTCAAAGTTGCAAGAGGAGCAAAGTTCAAGGTCAGAGACACATCACAGGCAGAACTGGAACTGTATAACATCCAAAGGATTCAAAATGCCCCCAGTCTTCCCTGAGCTAAGTTAAAATTTTAGAACAGCTTTGAAACACATCTAAACTATTTTCCATACATCACGTGTTCCATACAGCACTTTTCCTTCCACTGTTTGCAAAAGGAGTGAATGACCCCAGCAGGAAAGGAAGGGAAAAAACAAAACAGCAGTGTCTGCAGGAAGAGTAAGGACGAAAGCAGTGTGGTGGCATTGCCACACCCCTTTTATATCTGGATTGTGATGTTGTGTTTGCATATGACAAGGGAAGAGCATGCAATGTGATGTCCTGGTGCTCCTTTTGTTATTCTAACAAAACCTCAAACTCCTGTGGCTGCCCACCGACCGAAGCATTTCTCCATTCTTACATCCATCCTGCCATGACTTCACTGAGGGGCTAGATTTCTTGGAGTCTCCTTGGAGAATGGAATTGTCATGCTTCAGCTGTTCTAACAAAATCTAAAATAAATTAGCACGTAGAGAAAATGACCCTTGCATATTGTCTTAAACAGTAATATTATGTCAATCTTTCAGATCCAAAAAATATTCATTGTTGGCTGGAAGTAACTTACTGATTTCTAATGCAACGGATGACGACTCTGGAAGTTATACCTGTGTAGTCACGTACAGAGATGAGAACAGTAGCGCATCAGCCGAGTTATCAGTATTGGGTGAGTAGAAAGACCTACTCTTGCCTCTTCTATAGCATTCTTTGTGGCTGAGTATCTGATCCTGGTTATGAAGGCCCTCTGCTGTATTGTTATTTTCAATTGTTTTGAAAGAAGGATTTGGGTTTTACCACTCTTTGATTTTCTATGGTGAAACTTTTTTTACAGAGTGAATGTATATTTGCTAGTACTATGAAAAGCAGGTATATGTGTTTGCAAGTCATCTGAGAAAATAAAAAGTCAGAGCAGAGTTGACAGTGCTGTTGCATTTATAGAAGAAAGGTTATGAATTCACAGTGATCAGCAATCATTCCTTCTTTGGCTTTTCTCTCCCAGCACTATAGTCTTCCAGGAACTCAACAGCAGCCTACAAAGAGCCTTGTCGCTTTCTTCCAGTTGTTGATAGATTATGGGAAAGAACAATAGAGAGGGTCATTTTGCAGACTGACAGTTTGGATGGGAGAAGGCAGAGGACAATTGTAAAGCTTCACTTTCTTTCCTCTATTGGTTGAGCTCTTGCTTCATTCTGTCTGCATCTGCACTTCCAGCTCTATTGTGGAGTTTCCAACTCCACTTGTAACTGGGCTCTCCCTCTTCTTATCCAAGCCCAGAAGGAAGAAGAAGCTATCTGGAGGTTGGTTAAGATAGGAAAGAATCAATATAATACTAGATTGTGAAGGAGAATGGCTGTAGTGGAGGAATAAAACTCTGGCATGGATTTCTTTGGAGGAGAGAGATATTTTCTACTAGAGTTTGTCAGATGTTTCCATACTGTACATGGACTTGCTAGAAGAGTGAGGACAAATTTTAATTTTTAGTAAATGATCTGCAGAAGATGGAGATTTATGAGAAATGAGGCTGTATTTCCTACTGGCCTTTCTTCTTCATTCTTTAAAGGGATATTCTTTGGGCCAAATAGAAAGAAACGGACATGCTGGAACATACATTCAGAAGCACTATATTCTTGCTCCAAAGCCTGGGCCTAACTGATTGGTTGTTTCATGCCAGTTCACATCCCAAAGATAAGTGTGCATGGCCAAATGCTTTCCCAGACAGTTCTGTCCAATACTCAAGTCTAAGAATAGGGATGAGCTTTGGGGTAAATGATATTTATTATATATAGATATAGATTCCCATTTCAGACAAGTGATTCAGTGCAGCTTGCAAAGATTATTGGTGATGTGCCATCAAGTTGTTTTCAACTTCTAGCAAACGCATAGATTTTCTCCATGATGATCTTTCCCTAACCTGTTCTTTTAAGACTTCCAATGGTGCATCCATTGCCTCTGTAACTGAGTCCATCTGTCTTGCTGCTGGTCGTCTTCTTCTCTTTTCTTCTACCTCTGCCAGCATTACAGCCTTTTCCAGAGAGCTAGATCTTTGCATAATGTGTCCAAAGTAGGATAATTTGAGCCAGGTCATTTGTGCCTCAAGTGGGAACTCTGGGTTGATTTGTTTGATGATCCATCTTTTTTTTTTGGCAAAGATTAAAACTCAGAAACCCCTCTCCATATAACCTCCCAGCACCCAAGGATAGACAATAACTCCACTCACTAAGAAACAAAACCAAACCATATCAGTATTCACAGAGCTCATCTACCCACCTGACCCAAATGCAATGAGAAAGAA